CTGATGAATCGTAACCTAGAACGTGACTTGTTAGCAACACGATCGTGCAGCTGTTGAATCAAGAAATAGAAGACTTACCAACACAGCTTGACCAACATCAGCCAATTTGCGAAGGAAACGGACGGTGTTATAGGCCGATTGCCCATCCAAACCAGAGGTGGGCTCGTCCAAGAAGATCAGAATGCTAGGCTTGGACACCAGTTCCACGCCAATTGTGACACGCTTTCTTTGCTCAACGCTAAGTCCATTCCCAACAGTACCGATAAGAGTATCTGCCAGGTCGTCGAGCTCGAGAAGATCAATGATGGTGTCAACATACTTGAGCTTATCTGCCTTAGGGGTTTTGCGAGACTGGCGAAGGAGAGCAGAGAATTCCAATGCTTCTCTCACAGTTGCGTATGGCTCGTGAACATCTAGTTGCTCGCAGTATCCCGCCATCCTTTGAAAAGACACTGGAAGCTCACGGCCATCAACCATGATAGAGCCGTTGATAGTACCGTCTGTCTTACGCTGAGCAAGAACATCGAGTAGTGTCGTTTTTCCTGCACCAGAGGATCCCATAAGGGCGCCGAGCATGCCAGGCTTGACCCATCCGTGAATGTTGTCCAATAGAACTCGATCGCCCGTGGGAGTTTGGACGGTATACGTGAGGTTTTTCCAGGTAAAGATCGACGTGTTCTGGTTGAGATTTTCATCGTCAACCTCTACGGGCTTATCGGAAGGCTCGCGGGCAGTAGTCTTTTCGTTATTTTGTGCTTCTTCGTCGGAGACGGCGGCGCAGTGCTGCTTGAGTTTCTCGCGGGGAATGAGAAGAGAAGAGCCAGAGCCAGCACCTGCTTTCCAGTAGGATGTGAAAATAATTGTCAGGATGGCGAAGAATCCCCACCAGCCCCAGACGACACCGAAGTTCCGCCACATTTGAGAGTGCTTGTAGTGAAGTGATCCAAGATACTGATCGCCGGTCACGTAGTTTGCGCCTGGCAAAGCACCACCAACACCCGCACAAGCTTGGTTCTCAGCTCCGACGTCCTCGTAGCCAGGGCCACTTGGGATCAGGTTGTTACCAACACAAGGGATATGGCGGCCATGGAACTCGTTTGACATGGCAGCTTGGAAGGCATAGGCAAAGGGGTTTGTGTAGTATAACTCAAGGAACCAGTTCTTCATCTGAGGCTTGGGAATCATGTAACCAGCATACATGACAATGCCCTTGACTGCGGTTCCCGAGATCTTGGACGCGGCTTCGAATGTACTGAAAGCGGATCCGATGAATCTAAAGAGAGCGGTGATGCACTGAAAGATGTAAATAAGAGTTAGCCCAAGTCGGCAAACTGGCAGAATCGAATTAAAAACGACGACTTACCAGAGTTGTCGTGAACAAAATAATCCAGAAGGTAAAGAAAGCAGCCGCAGTATGTTTCAAGCCAGACATCCAATAGATGACAACTGAGAAGATCGTGCACTGGAATAACAGAACCGGGAAATCCGCCATGATCTGAGCTAAGGAAAACGCAGCTGGATGGTACATACCAAAGCCCTTGTGTTTGATCAAGACCGGACGGCCCTTAAAAGATTCAGTGACCTCAGACATGGCAACGATGCAGTTGTACAACAGCGAGAAGAAGACAGCGCCACCTTTGGTAAAGAGACCTGCGGAAGTGTCTGGCGAGTCATAGAAGCAAGAACCAGCGATCAACGCCATTACACATGACAGAACCTGTTTGATGATGAATGTTGATTTCTCGCCCCACAGAATCTGATACTGTCGCTTGGTGCATGCGATGAGCTGAGCCCAAAAGCTGGTAGTCAGACTACTACTCTTAGGCAGGTGGTTGGACTTTTCCCACGCAACAGACTCTTTGAATGCTTCTGTGCGCTCGCGGCTGAGTTCGGAGTCGGGATAGTCATACGCTGAGACCATACGGTCATAAGTGCTAGACTTTTTGTATTCGGCCAGAATGGCATCGGCGTTTCTGGCGAATGTGTTTTCGTATCCGGGTCTGATTCTCCGCTCTGTCGGGACTGTCACACCTGTGAGGAAGTCGCCTATTGTTTTGTGTTAGTTGATACCAGGCTTGTTTGCCGACTGTAGGGAACACGTACCGACGTTTGCTCCGTCAGTGTACACGAAGCCCAGATCTTCCATGAAAGGCTTAGCTGCAGCTGAGGGGCCATAGTAGATCTGCTTTCCTTCATCAAGGACAAGGACCTTGTCGAAGAGATTATAAATCCCGTTTCCTGCTTGATATAGTGTCACAATGGTGGAAAGGCCGAGAACGTCAGTCATAGCACGAAGGGCCTTGGCCCACTCAAATGCAGTACTGGCATCCAAACCACGGGTACTATTATCCCAGCAGTAAACAGAACCCCTAGTCGCGAGACACTCGATAATAGAGACTCGCTTTCGCTCACCACCAGATACACCACGGACGAACTCATTCCCAACCTTGGTATCGGCAGTATGGGTGATCCCCATAGAGTCTAGAAGGAACTGTTTCGTCTCTGCTGTGTATTCGTCGACACTTCGGACTCCATCCGGTAGATGGGAAGGAACCTTAAGTCCGGCCGCAAAGTCCATAGTCTGGCCCACTGTCAAGCGGGGGTAGAACAGCTCTTCTTCTGTGTTCATCACAATCTGGCCATGATAGCCCTCGGCTTCCTTAGGAGACATGCTTCCGAAACGCACGTCACCGTTCACGGTGTGATAACCTTCGCGGTGATTTGATAGCATCTTGAGCAACGTGGTGCATCCTGAACCAGGGCGGCCCAACACAAGCAACATTTCTCCGGGCTTTACGCATCCATGGCTGTCTGACAGGATTGACTTGAGTGATGGCTTCCGACGGAAATCCTTAATCAATTGAGGAATGTTGAATTGCGAGATCATGTTTTCGTTGACGGCGGCTTCGGCAGCAAGGACATCGACGGTTAGGTTTTGCCATGTAACACCTAGCTCGCGCCTCTTAAATCCGGCTGCTTCATCACGTTCTGCGTTCCGGATCACTTGTGGCGTCATGCTCCACTCCGCAGTCTTCTTGGGGGGTAGTGAAGTATCAGCGTTGGCGACATTCAAAGTCTCGGCACTCTTTGTTTCGTGGATTTTGGCTTGGGGTACATGCAGGGTCTCCACGCTGGTAAAATCGTGGGTGTTGAGCTTGTGGACGGGCTGGTTGTCCAGGCTGTGGTTATTATTTTCGTCTTCATTGTGGTATTCGCTGTGCAGCGAGGCATCGTCGGGGCCGGGATGCTCCTCCATGATAGGAGACTTAAGAGTGGAGATTGGGCAAAGAAGTAAAGATTATTATAGAATCGGAAGTCATATAGACTGGGGAATCTGGCGTGTTTATCCTAAGAGATTCTACAAAGGGGCGAGTCATTATATGTGCCGGCTCCAGATCCGAAGGAATAGGAGATCGGAAAGCTGATATTGAGTAGTGGCCCACTATTGGCTAAACAAATTTATACCATGGCTCTGTTCGTTATGACTGCTAATGCAGAGACCATTGTCTCACTCCTATGAATAGATCCAAAGGAGCCTAGAGGACCCGGCACAGAGGCCGAGTTCCATGACGGAACCCACTTTTGGGTTCAGTTTGAGCGAACTATTTCCAAGTCACATATCCAATGGTTGTTCAACAGCTAAACATTGGAAGCCGGAGAAATATGAAATATCCGATTCACCGGGTTCTATTATGTTTGGATACTTGAGGCTTTTAGGGCTTGACTGTTTGACGTTGCAGATCACTGAACAAAGTCCGATAGATGTTTTACCTCGGTCAATAATGCACTAGCAACCGATTGTTCCCACTTCTTGTCTCAAGGTGGATCACTATCAGCTGATATTTCCGGTGATACTACATGTATGTATGAGGGGCTGCTAACTTCTGCGCAATGTTCGTCGTAGCGATTCAACAAGCATAGTTATGGGCTAAGGTCTACATATTTCCGAATAAAGATTAAAGTTCTAGAATAAGGAGCCTTGACAGAACGGAAGTGCCCCTGGTATTGAACTATCAAAGTCAGTTATGAGCAAATCAGCAATGCCGAGGCACCGAAACTGTGAAGATTCCACTGATATATCCCGACACGGGTTCCCGGCGATCCCGATCTACCCGAGTCTTACGTATGTATCGAATCGAATTCTAGCCCATCTGGGCAGTCCTTAGGTCTTCCAAAAGAGGAAATATGTGCCTTGGTTCCCAATTAGGAAATTTACGACTGCTTACTTCCAAGGTTGGATCCATTGCGGGTCTGCCGACATCTTGCGGACATAAACAGGTCCAATTGTTTTGTCATTTTTTTCAATAATTAGCACTAGCCCGGTTTATTCAGGTTTAAATCCCATCTTCAGACCTTGCCGCACATTTTAATCCACGAACGGTAGGACTTTGAGCCACTCCCTACGTTCTTCATCATTCCTGGATTCACGGCTCAAGAGCCTCTCCATCCCCTCATCTAGCTCTGTAATAGATTTTTCATAGTCAACACCGTTGACCTTCCATCCCAGTGTTTGAAACAGCCAGTGTCGTCAACAAATGCATTTATAAGTTCAACACCTTGGGCCCATAGCTCGCCATCCTGCTCCTGCTGCTGGCATTAATGGGTACCTGAGACCTGCCTTTGCAGTTGCACCGGCGCAATAGCCGTCAAGAACTCCGTGACTGTGGACCCGAAAGGTTGTGCATGGATAGACACAGGATAATGATATCATACGAGTCGGAGATGAACTTACATGGACCACGCTCAATATCCAACTCACCTCGCCCGAAGTCAAAGAAAGAACGGTGATTGGTCGGTCCAATGCCAAACGTTTTGCTCCGCACTTCGTTCCCAGTTGAATCGAGGTATAAGAGCGAAGTAGAATCCGAATTGTCAGGAAGGTCGTCTTTATAGTACAACGACCCGAACTTGGAGAATTTCGTAGCTGCTAGCCGCCGTTCAATATCAACAACCTGGTGGAGATTTGGGCTTTCTGCTTTCCTTTGAGGGTATCCCACACGTCAGCTTAGTACCACGCCGGCCTGTTTCTCCATGAGGATATACTCTGCTCCGAGAGGGTTCTCTAATGCTCGAGAACTCCATGCGTACACTCTCGGAAAAGGGAGGTTCAACACATTCCGTGGTAGGAAAAAAAGCAAGCCATACAAAGTCCATAGTTGCAACATCAGTAGCTGTCGCGAGTGTGGTCTGCCTGCATTGAGATTTGGAAGTTTCGCAATGATATCGCGTCCATCGTCCATGGTGAGCTGGAGTACTTTGTTATATTGGCCCTCCCAGACCTTTGACACTTGAGTACATGATCTCGATCCGATTGCAGAGGCAGCTAGTTGCAGAAGCGTTGAGAGGTCGAACTTGACATAGCGACAGGCAAATTGCTGTCGCTCGTTCCAAAGCCAACGACCTGAGGTAAGCCGGTTGAAAGCCTCAAGGTTATGCGTTGAATCTACGATACCCTTGGTCTCATCGACTTGGGAATTGCCCGAAGAAAAAGAAGCCGCCGTGAGTGTACCGCGGGGGTTACAGCGGCGGGAAAGCGTGGCTCCTAGAGTTCTTCTTAGGAAAGGACCTCGGATGGCCATCATATCTAGCCCTGGAGCATTAGAGAGCCTGGAAAGTTGGGAAGATCTATCCTTTCGTTGTCATCGAGCAACAGCGCGTTGTGACGTGTGAAACAAGCATGGAAGTCGCGGACTTGGCGGCAGTTGGGGAGGAGCGCTAGCCCTTTAAGCCATCCGCTTGCTACGGCCTTGGTGGACGTAGAAAGCCAACCAATTGAAGTTATGGACCACAAGATAAATATGAAGTTCTCAACCAATTGCCCCTGCGCGATACTCCGGGGTAGACAACCACCAAAACATAGATCGAATACCAAAATATAAATCGAACAAAATGCCATGCCAAGATTTGGCACCGTCAATCCGTAGATGCCAAAGATGAACCATATCAACTAGAACATGCCCTCCATATCCAAATCAAGGAATTCAGGATTGCCAACTGCCATATCCGCCGCATTAAGCACATCATCAATAGCATCCATGCCAGCCCCGGAATCAAGCCCCATGTCCTGACCCACACCAATGCCACCATCCATGCCAGCGGCCGCCGCATCCGCCGCCGCCTTATCCAGCATCTGATTGATATTATCCGGATCATCCTCATTGACTGTATTACGCGCAACATCAGTAGCGGAAGGCTCAAGATCCATCCGATCCTCCTGCCCCTCAACGCCAAGATGCATATTCTGAATAATATTCGAGACATCGATATTCGAGACCTGCGACGGTGGCGCCATGAGCATATTAACCCGGCGCGCAAGGCGCACCACGACCTCCGCGCGCAGCGGGTCACTCTCAGAGATCTTAGGCACGTTCTCGTGCTGCAGCGCCAAGGCATCCCGCAGCGTCAGAATCGCACACCGCGGCAAAGCCTCCTTGCTCGTGTCGACTGGGTGGTAGTTGTTCTGGTCGACGGCAAAGGACTCCGTCATCGGTGCACATACCATCGTCGTCGCAATGTCCAGCGCGATATGTCCGCTGCCTGCTTCGGTCTGCTGCTTGACTTCGTCGATTATCGCGCCTAGCACGCGTGTTGCGCCCAACATGCGGATCCCTGCTAGCACCTGCCGGTGCGTGTATGCGTGTGGGGCCATGCTGATTTCTGGATTGGCACTCCAGAGGACGAGGGATTGCAGGGTTGTGCGGATGCTGGCTATTAGCCCGCCTGCGGAGTGGGAGGTCCAGGTATCGAGTTCGGAGCGGCGGCAGCTGCCGACGCGGCGGAAGGAGATGTATGGCTCCAAGGCATCGAGGATGGGTTTGATGTCTGTCCGCGACGGGTTTCTTGTTCGGACGTTTCTTAGTTGCTCTTCTAGTGGGCAGCCGGTTATGTTCAGGACTGTTTGATGGATGGCTTGGGCCTCGCCAGAGATTGAGCTGGGTTTGACTAGGGAGTGGAGGGTTTTGATGGGGATTGTGGGGTCGGTCTCTGATTCCCAGATGTGGTTGCCCAGCCACGTTAATGCGACGACTAGGGACGGGAGGAGGAAGGGCTCGAGCAGATCTGTATTGTGGTTAGCTGGGTATCCAGTGGGAAGCGACCGCGTGACGATATTCTTACATTCAAATCCGCCTTTCAAAGTGTCAAAATCCAGCTTTCCGGACTCGCATGCACCAAGACTCTGATCGAACAGTGTGGTCACAAGCATGTAGAATTCGTGTGGGCTGCAAGTGGACATGGTCTCTTCGCTGATGCCCTCAGCAATGAACAGAGCTCCTATCCAAGCGCCGAGGTCTTTGTTTTGCTTCTCGCTCAAGTCACTCAGCTTCTGGCTGCAAGCGCCGCGGTCCAAAAGTTTCAACAAGAACGAGTCGTTGTTCGAGATACCCATATCAGAAGGACTCAAGTCATACCGGTATTTGAACGCGAGGACCAGCAACAAGATACTGCCAAACTCATCATAGACAGGCTGATTTTCGCCCTGATCCTCGTCCCACTTCCAGGAATCAAGGACAGCACAAAGAGGTTGCAATACTTGCTTTGTAGTGCGGAACAGTAACATGACGTCCAAGGTCTGCGGGCGGCGTGAGAGCGAGTTGCAGATATTCTTGAGAGTCATTGTCTCCTTCTGATGACACAAGTTATGCATGACCTTGAAGAAGTTAGCATCCTAATACTTCCAGAGAAAACATATCGGATAGTATGGAACATACATCGACCACAGCACCAACTATCGCGCCTGCATTACCCTCCATCGACTCGATCTCACCAATAAGTTGCTCAGCACGTTCATGATTGGTATTGATTTGTGAAACGAGATCGTCCTTGACATAAGGGCCCCCACCAGACAGTGTCTGCATGGGGTTTTCTCCGAGAAGCTGTTCAATGCTGGACTCTCGTATGAGCTTGTGCGATGCGCAAGCGAAGAGGAACTCCTGGCGAGCATCTGATAAAACACTGCTGCCCTGCATAGAGAACATCTGAGAGAAGGAGGGGAACGCGTTGGGGTCCAGACGGCTTAAAGCGTGACTGATACACATTTCCATAGAAATTGGCACCATAGATGCTGCCGAGATGGCTGCGAAAAAGGCGGGGAGCTTGTTAACAAGGAAAGATCGGAATAAGAGCATAGTACGGCCAGATTCATTGCGATATACGCCGTTGGAAAGGACATCAAAGGCGGCTGTGATAATTTCCTCGATGAGGACATCATTGTGCCCCTAGTAAGTGGTCAGTTACATGTATTGAGGTACTCTTGACTAGTGAGGGAAAGATGATCTGAACAGCTCTAACTAGTGAGAAAGAAATTAACCATGTTAATTGGACTTACCTGATACCGATTAGTCAGGTAGTTGATCAGAATCGTATCGTCGACCAGAGGACGCCCCACAACCTATTGCTAGTCAGCCATGAACCCAACATCGCAACTTAAAGAGAAGCGTACCATGGAATTTATGTATACATAGAGTCCAGCTCTAGTGTTAACAACTGGGCCATCCATGACAGAAGACTCAAACTGGAGGGCATTGACATCCACGCTGTTGATCGCAGGCCCCTCCAAAGCCTTAGAAGGCTGACCAGGATAAAGATGGAACACTTTCTGCAACTCTTCGAGGCGGTGTCGAAGGGGCAGAGAGACATCGATACAAAGTGGCAAGTAACTTGACAAAGCCTGTCCCAATTTCGTTTTCAACCCTAGGTGAAATCGTTAATAGACGTTCAACAGATATGGCAATATCATCTCCAAGCGCGGGGACTATCTAAATTTACCTTGATTGAAATCACTAGACAGCACTTCCAGTCCTTTGCTAGTTCCAGACAAAGCTGCAAGTAGAATGCCGAGCGACTCAAACAACGAGACCGCGTCAGGTGACCCCATCAAGCCACCTGTTTGCTGCGAGGCGTCCATGCTGTTATTGTGCCACGCCACGACAGCCAGAATCCAATCTACGGTGGCAGAGTAGATTTCTGCAGCCTCCATCACGGTCTTGGGGATTGACCCGGTAGAAATAAACACCATGACATCCTGGATGACTTTGATATCCGTCATGAGAGTGGATGGTTTCTGATTCTTGAACTTGGATGGTGAGCTGTGTCCCTCGCCCTCGCTCTCACCAGATCCAGACGCATCCAGAACGGAAGAGTGCTTTAAAAGACTCGTCAGCGCAGACGAAGACTTGACCCTCCCAACCTTGCACAGTCCATCGACGTACAGCGGCAGAAGAGGGTCCCAGGTAACACTGGAAGAGGCGCGCGCTTCAAGGAGCAGATCGAGAAGCTCATTTTCCTTCACAGGCGAGCGGGCAAACATCAGCCCTGACAAGTCCGTGAACTCGTCTATATCTATACGATTGGCCAAACATTGCTGGAGGAAGGTCCTCCATTGTTCGGGGATTGCCCTGTCCGGCAGCATTGTCATCTCCACAACATAACACTGCACCCCAAAAGCTGTAGAAGTGAGATTGTAGGTTACAGACTCGCAACAAGCATTTTTCCCTAGAGGAATGTATCGCTAGTCTTGAGGCTGTGAAGGATAGCTCTTTCTCAGGTCGCGCTCCGGGTCGCGAAAGGAATTACGTAATTATCACGTGAGATAACATTAACTATGTCCATGTGACACGTGCCTTGAAGTATTCTTAATGCCTCAGGCCACTCTTCGAATAGCCTCGGGCATTTTACAAACAGCATTAAAGTCATGACAGACAGAACACCCGAGTGGACCTGTGTACCTAGTCTAGGACTTTGGATTTTAATGAAATCAAAGCGTTGGGGCTGAGCCTCAAGGAATCAGGTATTGTGATAGAAATCTAGTTTATAAGACCACGCAAATACTTTTAAGTTATTCATTGAATCTCATTATCATCATGACAATCCCAAGTGCAGAACCAAAACAAACAGCGGTGCTCAAGTGGGGATATCAATCGAATGCAACAGTGGAGAAAACCAAGCGCCTCTATCCGTAACCCGCTTGACAAAAAGGGTAAAAAGCTATTTAAATGAAAAGAAAATGCATCAAAGCTGCCTCTCCTCAAGAGAGGACAGAAATCATCACAGAACACCACCCAGAATAAATGGGGATGCGACTGATCTACCACCAGTCACCGTGCTCCTTCATGGCCTCAGCGACCTTGGTGAAACCAGCGATGTTGGAGCCAGCCACGAGGGAAGGAAGCACACCCTCAGCAGGGGTGACATACTCCTTAGCAGTAGCAAGACCGTTGTTGAAGCAGTCCTCCATAATCTTCTTAAGACGGGAGTCAACCTCCTCACGGGACCAGTTGACACGGGCAGAGTTCTGGGCCATCTCAAGACCAGACACAGCAACACCACCAGCGTTGGCGGCCTTACCAGGGGCGTACCAGATAGCAGCGGCACCGGGGTTGGCATCACGGTGGGCCTCGAAGACATCGATAGCCTCCTGGGTGGAACCCATGTTGGAGCCCTCAGCGAGGAACTTGCAGCCAGCGGCGATAAGAGCCTTGGCCTCGTCGCCGGAGACCTCGTTCTGGGTGGCGGAGGGGAGAGCGACGTCGATGCGGCCGGCGATGTTGGTCCAGGGGCGGGCACCGGGGATGTACTTGAACTT